AGAGCTTCAGCACCCTTCCTGCATGCCCTTCTGCGCAAACTGATGCGCAAACTGCCACACCACGCCCTGCTCACTAGCGCTCCCTAAGGGATTCTTTCATACGGGTGGGCGGGCATGGCCGACATTCCTCCTGGCCCTGCCCAGGTCTCGTCAGCCGCTGTCACACAAGCTGGGGGCTCCTGGCGGCTCTCTCGGCTGCCCCTGAGGTCTCCCCAGTTCGGAAAACCCCACTGTGCACCGTGCTGGAGCCCTCCGCTGCCGATCCTGTCGGTACCAGAGCTGCTTGCCTTGGCGACTGGTATTATGGGACATCTTATTATACATGCTATTTCAAGTTGAAACTTGCAAATTCGTCTATTTTTAAGTGTTCATGAAAACTAATGAATTTTCAATACTGAACTGCCAGTTTACAGCTTTAGACTGCCACAACTTCCTAAAAATCAATACGTCACCACGTTCTGAAACTGCCTTTCACTTCTAAAGATGCATTTGCATAGTAAGCATTCCTAAAAATAGTTAGTTTTTTAAAATAAGGAAACAGAAATAGTTTCATTAAAACAGTTACAGAAGTCTCTCTCAAACTTTAAAAATATAGATACATATTTATCTCTGTCAGAGACAAAGCACAGAATGTTTCCTTCCTAAAAGACAAAGGTCTTCAATTTAGATGAATATGTGAAAATAGTTACAACAAAAGCCTTTTTTCATCTTTAATCATAGCAAACTCTGAATGACAATTTTAATGCGCTCAATACGTCTTATGAACAATTAGAGTACTAGGTTAAAGATTACTTCTGTATGCCACTTTCAATAGCATGCTAGCTGAAAAATTTACACCTTAGTCAGAAAATCATCAGGATATAGATAGTCAATTGCTTGAACAAGTTTAACATGATACTTGTAAATCAGTTTTCAATTCATTCTTGGATTGAAAGAGCTGCCATTTATCAAAAACAAAGATCAATTTTCACACACCTTAATTTCAGTTACCATTAGCTGTAAATCCGTGCAGATTCAAATTGGAAACATTCAAGCACTACAATTAATCAGATTTAAAGCCAATGATTCCTTTATAAAATTACTTTAAATTATGATTATGCTTTTTGATCAACATTTAATGTATTGTCTTCTGACAAAATAATTGATTGATAAGATAGCATAAATTACATAATTTATTCACACACGTGGGGGATAAATAAGTAAAAATAATAGAAGTGTGAAAATCTGTGGATTAAGGAATGCACTCCCCACACAGTATCTGACATACAGCTGCTTTCTGTAGGAGTACATTCCTCAGTACTCCTGCATAGCTGTTCCTGAACTTGTGGTGTTGGCCACATGATCGCACTTTTTTTTGGTAATAGTCTAAGCTTCTGGCATGTACTAACCATATGATACGCTAATATATTTATAAGTGGATGGATTACTTTCCCCTAAAAAATCCGTTCTATATCTTCAATTCTTAAATTACATGCCCTGACATATTACTACATATTATATACGTAGTCATAACTACCACTCACTCCTTGTTTCTAACCTCTCCCAGACAATTCAGCCACGGCATCTCCTGATTCACGCTGCCTGTATTTGCAACTGCATTCTCAAGAAGGCAGGCATGTGCACATCCATCTGTGCCTTCCAAACATGCAGGGCAACTCCAGTTGCAAATCCACTGAAGGTTGGCATACAAGAGAGAAGAAATGCAGCATGCCCAACGTGCTACACAAGTATTGGGAAAGACAGGGACGAAGAATAATGGGACATTACAGATGTGAACATACTGCAGCTGTGGAAGTAGACAGGACCTGATTTGGCATGCTAAATGGACACAGGGTAATGGGTCAGAGGACAATGCAAGGAGGAACCAGGGAGACATGTATTAATGTCATCTCAGGATCTCCCAATCATGCATCTTGCCCAGAAGCTCGTGCCCTTGCCAAGCACGAACAAGCCTGTCCCCACCATTATTTCGCATGTACTCCAGTTCGCTGCTTCTGCAGTGCAGAACAGTGGAAAATAAAGAGTTAATAACAGATGATTTACAGAAAGCATAAATCTCTCAGCAGAGGCCAAGAAGAACGTTTAGGCTTTCCTGCTGTAAACTGGACCTGGCTCGGCTTCCTGACACGAGTATCTGAAGAGGGGCGAGGCATGGCAGCATCCCAGCACTCACAGACTTGAGTTCACAATGAGGTAGTTGATGCCTCTTTCTCTTCTTCACCTCGATCTATGCCATACTTTTGAGGATTGTAACCTCCAGTTTGAGAAACACTATGTTAGTAACAGGACAGAATCATTAACAGATGGCACATAATAGGAAGTGGTGTATTTCACCCTTCTATTCTCTTGTCCCATCAAAAGAAACTAGCTAAATGTTTCATATTCTAAAATTTTTCATACCAAAAATAGAGTCCTTACACAGTTCTGATTTTCTAAAGATAACAAAAGTGTATTATATGATTCCTAAAGTCTTCACTGAAGATAACTCTATAAATCCGACGAAAGGTGCAACCACAGCACAGACAGGCAAACAGATGCTTTCATCCAACTACCATAAGGAGGAAAGACAGATACACATTCTGCAAACAGCTGTGCTGGCAGAAAACGTTATTGAACCATGTGCTCATCACTCTTCTTCTACTAGAAGTTACCTTGCTTAAAGATATGTCAAAATATGCAGAATTAACTTAAACAGCTTAAGTAGTGAGCCCTTCTACACTATTTTATTTTTAATGAAGAAGGTCAGGGAGCACAAACAGATCTCTTAGCAAAGCTAGCAGAACAGCCACAATGAACAACTACAGGAATGCTGAACGTAGTAACATTCACTATTGGCATACGCAAACAAAGTGATAAATTCATAGTGCTGAAGTCTGAGAACAGGCTAGGAAACAGTGTATCAGCCTACTGGAAATCACTGTTAAATATTCTTGTTACTAGTTTGCATTGAAGCCATACCACTATACCTTTGCTGTAGTAATGTAATCTGCATTAACTAAATAAGATTTGCGTATCCACCCTCAATTTGTTAGACATACCCTGTATGATCACATCAAAGTTTGTCTTTGTGGGGAGAAAAAAAAAGTTATCAGCACATTTACACTTCTTTAGCTTTTGAATGTATTCAGTGTTTAGTGACAAACAGAAAAAGGTATTTCCCACTGTGAAAGTCCCTGAAAGTAAAATGGAAATACTAGGTAGGATCTTCAAAAGCACATGTGTGACTTAAAAGCACAAGTCCCCTTGAAGCACAAGAGGATTTATGCCCCTGAACCACATGTACACTTTAAAAATATTATGTTGTTTATATAATTTGCATTACAAGTTACTGTCCAGCCAATTAGCTCCTATAATTAAGTGACTACCCAGCCGCTTACCTGATATAGCAACCTTTGCTCTGCATGCCACCCGGTCTTTTGTCCCATTGTCTGAAGACCTGACAAAAAGAAGAAAAGAAAAACGAGGTTTGAAATCTGTGCATTTAGACTTCTAAAACTCAACCCTTTAAACATTAAAAAGTGCCAGGGTTTTCATATTGTAGCTCATTTCAAACGCTTTTCTTTAAAGCTAAATTTGGTATCTCTGGTTTAAGATATAAGTCATTAGATTCTTGAGGATAATCTGGAAGGAAGGTACACCATCAATTTTCTTATTTCCCTAGAAGATTTTACTCCAAAGCTCATTTAACCTGGGTATTAAAAGACAAGTAGATTCATCTGCCTTGTCTTTTCTAGCTCCAACAGAATCAAATACGTTTGATCAATCATACTTTTCCCCTTCTGTACACATCAATGAATAAGCAACTTAATTTATCGGTTCTATTATTGGTTAGAGAATTGCCTCCTCCTCTATTAATAGAGACCAATTACAAAATGTTGCATTGTTAGTATTGTGATTTTACATGCAGGCAGTTTGCTAAGTAGCCAGAGTGTAGATCTCAAGGTCAACCTTAAATTGAATTAAAACAATCTGTAGATAATCAGTAACAACAGAGTGCTCTCCTTATATCTGCCACTGCTCCTAACTCCTAACCGAATAAGTGAAATGAAAATTTCTAGCTGCTACCAATATCCTGACTTCCAGAGGCAGCTATAACACCTTCAGAACTCAGATTACAGACCCATGTAACAAGAAACAGGGACAAAATTCACTTGAAAACCCTAGAATTTTCTCTTTCAGCCGTCAGCGTCTTATCTGGATTAAGCTTTAACCAAATTCCAGCCTTGAGCAAATACTGAAAAAAGAACTGCAAATGCACTATCAACTATCAAAGACACAATCTAAATGGTAAAGAAATAACTCTACAGCATGCATCTCTTCTAATGACCTCCACTGACAATTCAAAGAACCCCTTGAGATAGAACTCTAAGCAATGCGTGACAGACAAAAATCAAGTGAACAATACAGCTGACTGTGACTGTAGGAAAACAACACAGCTGTTCAGATATATTTCCAAGTATCTCTGCCCTGTTCTAGACATGTGCCATCACCATTCTGTGGTCACCGACATCAAAGACCAGGAGTTGAGAACATCAGCATATATATATACTGAATAGTATTCCATCGTTAAAAACATAAATAAAAAATGAATCACTATAAAAGTCTTCATTTTAATAGAAAAAAGCAATACAACCGCAATAATTACAGAATACCACAAATCATAAGTGCTGGCTTTCAAAATCAGCTTTTACAATAAGAGTTGATGTAGTCAGAAAATGCAATTCTTTCCTTCAATAAATTTCTCCTATAAGACCACATTTCTGAAAGCAAAAAGTAACAGGACTGTTCCTATAGATACAATTAACTGGAGCTAAGCATGTACTCGAAGAGTTTCTGTGCTAAATTGCAATATAGTATTTCATTAAAGTAATAACCCGAGAGCAATAGTGTCTCTGCACCACAATTCTCAACATTGCACCCAAAATATATTCCATTAGGCAAAAAATTATAATTATTCAAATAAACCACGTATACCTTAGTTCATTCAAGAGTTATAACATGAGAATATTTTCAACTAAACTGATTTTTCTTCATATTTGTTGTTGTATTTATTACTTTGCTGTAGTTAACAAAAGTGGCCAGCAGAGGGTATCAATTAACCATGATGATTCCATCATTAAAGGGACCTTAATAACAATAGAAAGAATGAAAAGCAGAAATAGGGGTATTCTGACTTGGGTAGTTTTGTTTTGTTCCTTCAGACTTGTTTAGGTACCTTTTTGTATGCTAAAGGTAATCAAGAAAATATGTCTATTATGTTACCTGATATTCAGATGCTGAATACTAGTTTAATGTCAATAACAAAATCTACCGAGAAAAATATGACTTGTATTTAACTTCTTAAAGTAAAAAGAAAATACTGGAATGGTCTTACAAAGTAATGTTTTAAGGCAGCATGTTTGTATGGGGGAAGACAGAAGGAAGGGTTTAAATCCACTTTCCTAGACAGGCTGCTAAGAATTCACATATGCAAAAGCCTGCTTCATAGTGCTCCATTTGAATTTGAGCTGTTACTCACCGTTCTTCGGTTCTGCACAAGTCCAGCTCTTCTTTTTGGTTCTGTAGCTCTGTCCTGTATGCAAGTATACGAGCATTGCAAACCATCAGGTTTTTAACCGCTTGCAAGAGTTGGTCTTTTTGTGTGCTCACTGCAAGTAGCTTACAGATGCCTTCTCGCATGCGGATTTCAAAGTTAATCTTCTCTTGGATGTCGCATTCCTAGATATGCAAAAAACAAACAAAAGACTAAACAAAAATCCAACTAACAATATCCTGAATTTTTAACAAGCTCTACTTATTTCACAGTTGGGATAGAAAACCCTAGGTTTTAATTATATGCAGCCACTATGATGGTTACTAAATGTAAAATGACGGTTCTCTGTTCAGGAACAAGAGAGTAAAACACAGAACGTAACAGATTCACTATACCTATTATACATGCAAATTCCAAAGCGGGTAGTAACATTAACTCACCGTAGCATCTGAAAGTTACTAAAAATTTATGTGCCTCAATGTGTTAGTCATAGGATAATAACATATGGTCCCCTCATATGGTCATTGAAAGGCCTAACTGAACAAAGCTTATAAATTAACATTCCACTTTTTACAGTGATCCCTACTAAAATAAACTCTAAACTCAGGAAAATATCTGAAATATTTTAAATCAGAAGTTCAACCTCATTACTACTTTGGCCATCTTGAAAAGGGTTAAAAAAATGTGTTTTTTTCACTTGTGATTGATATAAAATTCAGGTAGCACCAGAAGCAAAAAAAGGGTAATACCCCAATACTTGACTGTTTCAGGCCGTGAAGTGAAAGTCAGCTGTGGTAGCTTCAACACTACACAAGGACCATGTCTTGCCTGATGGCACAACCACGCACGCTTCTCATTCAAAAGTATGAAATAAGACAGACTTGCCTGACAAGTCACTAGAACTCTGCATGATTGTTTTTTTGAAGGAGTGAGGGTTTTTAAGGTACTATAAGAACTTCTGGGAAGTCAACTTTTTCCTACCTACTTTCAGAAAAAACAAACATTTATAAATGCCCATTATTCCTCACTTGCCACTTCAAAGAGGTCAATCCACATCAAGCCAGCAGATAATTAAGGTGAAGGATCACAGTTTGCTATCTCCCAAAGGTATGCCTGATGCCACTGATGACTCTGATACACGTTTCCTTGTTATGTGGCCATCCCTGGCCAAACCAAATATTTCTGACACATAAAAAACAGTTTGTTGTCACTGTATTGCAGGGTTGCATTGCAAATACATTGCAAGTCAGTGATGAGTGAAGTTTTTTCAACACTGAGCAACAGTGTCACAACTACCTCTGGAATTAAAAGAATCTTGTTAGTTTTCAGTTTTATAGTACCTCTGAACTCAAAATAAGTGCTTTAGAAGCACTTATAGATGGATCTATAAGCAATTGACTGAAACTCATGGTACAATAATTTGAATTTACAAGTTCGGTATTTCAGCTGGTAGAAAAGTACCAGCAACTGCTCTCCCTCAAGCCTCTAATCAGGATAGAAATAAGAAGGAGCTAATTTCCCCACAACTCAAGTACTTGAGAAATCCAGAACCCCTGAGAAGGGTAATGTGGACAATTTTGTTCTTTACTTGGGACTCACTCTGTCATTAGCTGCCTTTGTCATGAGAAAGTGACCCTTTATAGCAGTCACAAGAGGCAGGTGGAAGCTCACTAGATAGTCACCACGCATTCCCTCCTGACTCTGCAGGAGTGGGTTTTATTGTTTTCGAAGGCCTGGTGCCATAATGTAAAGATACATGTTTCAGCTGCTGTTCCATCTGCTCACAGAGCATTTCTCCTTCCAAACCACCCCACTTTGTTATGCTAAAGGAAAAGCGGCTCCGGTCCATGAGCCACACTCCGTACCAGCACAGCAACACGCTCAAGTTGTAATACTCTACTACACAGCATCTGAAACAGAGCTGATTCCCAGCTACCTCTAGTTTATAATAGAACACTATTATAAAATCCCAGAGGCTATCGGATCCCTTCAGCAGTATAAGCCTCTCGTTCTATTTCCCACCTCTTCTGTTATAGACAGCAACTTCATTCTTGTTAAAATGGGACCTAGAGCCATACAGAAGCTTCTTCTGCTCTACATCGAGAGCCAGTGAGTTGCTAAGCCCACATACACACACACAGTTTCTCATTTTCCTCAGATAATAAAGGAGGTGGGTTCCCCCCCAAGATGATAAAGACCCCAGGCTTGTATAATCAGGCAAAGCAGGACAAATACATGTTCTGCTGAATTTGTCAGTGTTTAAGACAATTAAGTCACATGGTGAGAACACAGATGATGACTAGACACCACCATGAAGGAGGACACTAATGAAGTACAGAGGACTCTCCAGAAACTAAGAACTCTCAATCTGACACCCCATGAGAAATGTTTGGGACATGCGCAGGTTACCATGACACCTGCCTTCTGGCACCAGTGGGTTGCTTGGTGTTGAATAGTTCCCAAAGCTCACATCAGAGATGTCTTCCATGGAAGTTCTGCTGGTATTTCCTACATATACAAAGCCCTGGGACCCAGTATGGCACCAATAGACGACCCCAGTTTCCCCCTTCATGGATTTGCTATCCAAATTTTCAACCCCAACGAGTGCAGGCTAAAGCAGTGCACCAACACCTCCACATCCCCAGCACCTGCTTCTCTATCCACACTTTTTCTCAGCTCTCATTCCAGATGGAAAGGTGAAGCAAATAGCTTTCATCAATCTTCTTTTATTCTGAGTCAAATTTTACACAGCTATGAAAAGCTAAGCAAGGCCCCCTAAGAAATACTTACTCATTCTTTGAGCCTAAACTAATACATCAGCTGTTACAAAGCTGAATTTCATCTCAGAAGAGTGAAATAGTACTTCCCCCTAACATTTCCCAGGGTAACAGGCCCCTGCACTGACGCAGCACAGACCACAGCTCCTCTCCAGGTCTATCACCTGGTACATAACTATGGTGAGCAAATAAACTCTCCTAGTTTGGGGCATCTGCGTTTATCAGGACAGTGACTTTCAGAACTACACGAAGGATTTAGTCCATGATACATCTCAGCCAGCCTCACGTAAAATATTCTGGACTAGCATTAAATGGTTGTTGGGCCATAGCTTAAATAATTGCACCATATAAATCTCATCTGAAGGAATGACTTAGCAGTTTGATTTGGAATGTATGAAGTTTTTCATGTCTACCAAAAAAAATTGGTCAGCCTTTTTTTTTTCCCCTCCTCCAGTTCCTTCTAAAAATACGAGCACACCATCTGGACTTGGAGGGATGACACAGCACTGTTTGCCGTATGCTGTCTACTAATGCACTGTTTCCCTTGCGGTCTCCATCCTTCCCCCACCAGTGGCAGCACAACCCAGACTTAGTAGCAGATTACTAGCAGCTGTTGAGATTTGCAGCCCCACACTCAGGAACTGCCTAAGCAATACTTTCAGAAAGAGTCTTTGTATTCCCCACCCAAATGTACCTACAATGTAAGAAATTTTAAAGCATTTCTAGTTTTACATAGGTGACGGAGTCACAAAACAAACAAACAAACCCAACAGCAGCAGCTAAGAAAAATGAAATGGATACTGCTGAAGGCAGGACAAACCGAAATTTTATTTTATTTCATTGATATCTTAAATATAGGCTTTCAGAATCTCGTTCCAAGGTACACTTTCAATTTATTACCACAGAGGCTTAAGTCTAAAGCCCATAGGTCTACTATATTTATTTAAAATAAGCCAGTAGTCAGGCAGCGAGTATTCTTCTAAAAGAGAGGCCGTGAAGTCAAGATACTAGCTTGGGGACTTTTCTAGCTAGACACAGGAACGAGTATTTGTTGCAACTGACAGCAATAGCTTTACAGACACAGTTGAGTTCAACTAATTCGGGTTTTGAAGTGATTCGAGGTTTAAAAAAACCTCATTAACAGGCAAATCAATGGCTAAAAGATTAAAGAGCTAGGAAGGACCAGCTTCACGATCGCGGCCCCCAAGAGGGTGAGCAGGGAGCTCAGCCCACCAGCGCACCGCCACCTTTGCCC